GAAATTAATAAGACCACAATAGTCACAGGACCAAAAGTGTAATTTGCTCATTTGGTATAGGATTACATTTGGTAAGTGCTCAACGATAAATTTGGGCAACATGATCCTTAATAGTCTCTAATTTTATTTTATTTTTTTCTGTGTGAACAGAGTTTTAACTGGAGAGGATCTGTAAGGTGTCTTTAATTTCCTCCTTCATTGGTGAAGTCAGTTAGCTTTTGTTCAATGTATATGGAAGTAATAGCACATATTTATATATTTTGGCTTGTGATTAATATTTTTGTTACTTTTTAATCAATTTTGTTGATTTCCTGGCAGTTAACACCACGTATTGATTACAGGATGCTAGACTTGGCTCTCCATGTCATAACCCAACACTTCAGTAAGGAGCGTTATTATTAGTAAAATATTATAATATTATGTAACTTAAGTTATATTATTTCTTTATACTTGCGCTCTGATGGAAGCATGCTGGATGTTAGCATCAATACCAATTGTCAAAATCAAACACTTATATCTAATAGCGAGTGTGCAACTTTATTTCTTTATATTTGCGTAATAATTCGTGTTACGTTTCGATGATAGGATGTTGCACTCATCTCTTCAAGTCACTGTCCAACAATAGTCTTTACTACAATTCTAGTGTTGTAGCGATTTTAACCCATTGCCTTAACGATCTTTGCCATTTATGTTTTTCTTATATCTAAACCCTATTAGTCAAGGGTAGTATAGTAAAAGTCTAAATTTTACCATTAAATATTTTAAGAATATAAATATATGATATTCAATTTCTTGACAATATATAGTACAACACTAGAGTTGCGCTGTAGTAAAGAATCATCTAAATAACATGTGAACTAAGATGTAGGAAGAGACGCAGAAAGTATTAATTTAATATTTTTAAATAAATTTTTTGGGGCTGTTAACAACAAACGCAGAAAGTACTAGCTATCTAGGACCCAAAAAGATCTTAACAACAGACGCAACGAGCTTATGAGGGGGTCTTCAGGAACAACTGGATCGAGGAATTGGGTGGGTGGAGTGGTCTCTGCCAGAGGAAGGTTGGGTGAAATTGAACAGTACTGACAGGGTTAGAAAGGTAGACTCGGGTTGATCTAGCACGGGACCACCATGGGACGTGACATGTTGGTTTTACGGTCAACATCGGGATCACAAGCAGCTCTTCGTTGAATTGTAGGGCTTAAAAGAAAGTTTACGGCTCGTTAAAGAGACGCAAATTATGCAGTGGACTCGTGTCCACAATGCATTGTGGACACGAGTCCAAAACGACGTCGTTTTCAAGAAAAACGCGTCATTTCAGTTTTTTTTTTTTAAAAATTGATTTTGTCTCGCCGCTAACGCCGTTAACTGCGTTATTCGTTTGTGCCATTATGAATGTACAGTTATGGGATTATGAATGTACAGTTATGGAATTATGAATGTAAGTTATAAAATTATGAACACAGAGCTCTGACATTATGAACTTACAATTATAAACATATAGTGATAAAATTATGAACATAGAGCTCTAAAATTGTGAACATCGAGCTTTGAAAATTATGATTTTATAGTTATTGAATTATGAATGTACAGTTACGGAATTATGAATGTACAATTACGGAATTATGAATGTACAGTTATGCAATTATGAATGTACAGTTATGCAATTATGAATGCACAGTTATGAAATTATGAACACAGAGCTCTGACATTATGAACTTACAATATGAACATATAGTGATAAAATTATGAACATAGAGCTCTAAAATTGTGAACATAGAGCTTCGAAAATTATGAAGTTACAGTTATTGAATTATGAATGTACAGTTACGGAATTATGAATGTACAGTTATAGAAGTATGAATGTACAGTTATGGAATTATGAACATAGAGCTCTGACATTATGAACTTACAATTATGAACATATAGTAATAAAATTATGAACACATAGTAATAAAATTATGAACATATAGTCCTATAACGAAGCGGTCTGAAATTAAAAAAAAAAACAAAAAAAAAAAAAGAGATAACAGTGTCTAACGGCACTGTGCATGCTGGACACGGGTCCATAGCATAACGATTGTCAAAGAGAGGGGTAAGTCTCGTTTATGTGTAATAGTTGCAAATTATATAAAATAAAGGGAAAATTGTAATTTATGCCCCTCACAAATATGTCAATTATCAATGTTATCCCTGAATTATTAGTGGTGTAAATGTTGCTTCTCAATTTTCAAAACGTGACATATATTGCCCCTCTCCTGAATTATTAGTGATGTAAATGTGGTTACGCGTCGTCTTTCTTGTTCGAAGACCACGTTTTTTCCCTCAATTTTTCTTTCTTCGCTTCTCCTTCCGTCGACAACAATTTTTCTCCTTCTTCATATTAGGGGAGAGGCAATATATGTCACGTTTTGAAAATTGAGGGGCAACATTTACACCACTGATAATTCCGGAGTGACATTGATAATTGACATATTTGTGAGGGGCATAAATTACAATTTTACCTAAAATAAATAAATCACACTAGAAAAATTTTGTGCAACAGACTTAATTAATATGGAGAGTATTTTGAATTAAAAGATGGAACACTTCCAAAATAAAAAATTAAAAGTAATTTAATTGATCAATTATTTGAGGGCCAACTTGGCAACTTACATACAAAAATACAACAAACCATAAAGTCACATCATTTTGAGAATAAAAGTCACATCATTTTTAAAAGGAAAGTTCCAATGTCACAAGTCCTATCTTTTTGAAATAATATAAAACTATCAACATATCTGAAATTCGAGGCAATTACAAAATGTAAAATAGAATTTGGACTTCCAAAATCTACTCTCACTTTGTACACTTGATAAGTGTCAAAGATACTTTGTTTGTGAAGTATTTTGGTGTTCATTGGTGTCTTGTTTGAATCATTTGAAGTTACTTTGTGGGTTTAATTGTCTTATTTTGGATAAAGATACATATGGAGACTAACTATGGGACAATATAATTGTGTGTTTTCAAGAAGTCTAAGTGGTTACAAGAGCATTAGAGCGTAGTGTGCAGGAGCAGGTCGCATGTTCTACGGCCTGGAGTATGCGCATACGAGAGCTTGATTCGGAAGGAAGTCCTGGTACAAGTCAAGTACGGCTAATTTGGTTAGGTGGGAATTGTTTACTTGCATTGTGGGATTGTATATTATATTTTCATATATGGATACATTGAAGTAAAATAAATATTATTTTAATTATATAATAATTTAATTTAATTTATAATAATAATAATAATAATAATAATAATAATAATAATAATAATAATAATAATATAGTAACATGATCATTTTTGGTTTCCCGTCAACAAAATCGTTGAAATATCGTAAAATACAAGGGCATTTTGATATTTTATATACAATGTATGTTAACCTACTATATTGAAGGCCGAATTGAAATGCCCTTCTATTTAACAAATTTAAACTATTTTGTTGATAAATGAAAAAAAAAATGTTATGTCACAATAATACTAGTACAAAAAGTGAATGTTATAAAAAAAATGATTAAAAATGAACTATCACATATAAATATAGAACCAAAAATGAAATTATTGAATAATAATTTATATTTTCTCAAAAGGAAGAATAATTTAAAATAAGATGGACAAATTTGACTGGTGGAATTGGAATATTCTTCTGCAAGTGATGCGACTTTTGATTAGTTGTGCTTTTGCATGTATGTCCGCATCCAATATTGACCAAACTTAAATTACTTTGAATTGATTAAAACAATAAATTTTTTGAGTTAATATCCGATTTAGTCATTGATTATAATAGTTTTTTGTTTTAATATAAATGACTTTTTTTGTATTTAATTAAGTTCTTGATTTTAATGATTTTACCTAATTAAGTCATCTGTTAAGATAGCTTGTAATTTTTATCGACTATAGTAGTTTTACGTAAGTTAGTCTTCAATTATAGTAATTTTATCCAATTTAGTCATCTACTATAGTGGTTATTCTTAATTTAGTCATTGATTCTAATGGCTGAGAACTCAATTGGGTAAAACCAGCAAAATCGATGACTTAATTAAGCACAAAAAAATTGTTTAGGACTAAATCGAGAAAAACTATTATAATCGATGATTAAATTGGGTATTAACTCAATTTTTTTTAATACATATACTTTCATATATATTTTACTTATACCAGCAAACTCGATGATTTATTTGACCACTATTAATTATTTGATTTGATTAAAACATCGACATAAGTGTTTGGTTAATTAGCTTTTTGCAACTCCAAAATGCTAAAATTCAAAAAGCTATTCCAAACAACTTTTGCAATTAGCTTTTTCAAAAAAGAAATTATACCAAATAACTAACTTAACACAATCAGCTAATATTATCAACTAGTTGTGTCATCTAATTAACACAATCAGCTAACAGTCATTTACCAAACATGGCGTATATAACACACTCATTGCAGCTTATTAATGAGTCAGATCTGTCCCTTTTTGTTTTTGTTTTGTTTTTTTTTTTTAGTTCACTCTCTCGCTCCTAAGGTAACATAAATAACCGTGCAAGAGTTAATTATTGATATATTTATAGGTCCACTTGCACAGTTGCACATGCCTCATTGACTCATAGTCAAGCACATGTATTATATAACACACTCATTGCAGCTTATCTTCCCCTGCTAGAACTCAGCCATGCCAGCGGCCATGTTCATAATCTTCATACCAATTATACTACTCTCCTTCAATGCAACATTTGTTGAAGCACAGAGTGGGCATCTTCCTCCAGATGAATGTGAGCCCCCTCAGTTCTCTCATCTGTTAGTTGTTTATTGACACCAAATACTTATGCAAATTACATATTTATTGACACCAAGAAGTGCTTAATTTTGTTTCATGTTTCGATCTGTAAGTAAATGCACTTAGGGAAATAGCTAAACAACTGGGCAAGAAGGATTGGAATTTTAGTGTAAATCCTTGTGGCAACAACTCAAACTGGATGACACCAAAAAGGAAAGATATGCCTCTGTACAATAATTCCCTCACTTGCGATTGTAGATTCCCTGCTGGTATTTGCCATGTGCAAAGCATGTAAGCTAAGCTCTTCCTTCAATTCTTTCCAACTCCATCTATCTCTCATTATCTCACATTTTACTGGTTTTTTTACTCAGAGTTTTAATGGGACAAGATCTGCAAGGTGTCCTTCCTCCTTCCTTGGTGAAGTTACCCTTTCTCAAGACAATGTAACAACACACACTTTCTACGTTTATGCAATAATTTGTTGTATATATTGTTTGGTTGATTAATAATATGATGCAGTGATCTCACCCGCAACTATTTAAGTGGTACAATTCCCCCTGAATGGGCTTCTACCAAATTGGAATATATGTAAGTTGTATCGTGTATTATAACCCACTGCTGGAAATTATGGAATTTCCGACCACCTGAAAGTGATCTTAAATCATGTTGAAAGCCTTGTTCCGACCACTTTTAGTATCCGGAAAAACCTTTGTTGCTATTTCCGACCACGTTTTGCTTTTAACTTGGTCGTGGTCGGAAATTTCATAATTTCCAGTAGTGACCTATGCTATACAAGTGTATGCCATCTGCTAAAGAAGTGAAAGTTTGCAGCTCTGTTAGTGTGAATCGATTGTCGGGGCCAATTCCAAAATACTTGGGAAATATAACCACTCTTGTATTTTTGTATGTTCCCTTAGCTTTCTCCTCTCAATGCACATGTATATATAATAACTTTTTCCGAGGAACTAAATGTTTGGGCTTTGTCCAAAAACAAATGAATTTTCAGATACTTTGAGAACAATATGTTCAATGGAAGTGTTCCACCAGAGCTTGGGAAACTTACAAACTTACAGCATCTGTAAGAATCCTTCTCTTAAGTGTACTATTAGCTGAATATATATATTAAATTTTCGTTATCGATCACTTGTTTGACGTTTTCTCTATTTTTGCTCTCTGTAGCGTTCTTAATGCTAATTATCTCACAGGTGAATTGCCAAAAGAACTTAATGCTCTCACAAATTTGATAAAGCTGTAAGTGCATATATATTCCTAATTTATGCAACTCCGATCCTTAATTCGTCATTTCTTCATTCTATACTCATGTGTCTTGGGGAATCAATGCAGCAGACTGAGCAGTAATAACTTCACTGGGAAACTGCCTAGCTTTCAAGCTTTCAAAAACCTTCAAATATTGTAAGCATTCAAATCTTCAAAATTGAAATCATTTTGTAATTAATTAATGACAAGTTAGCATATATGACAAGCAGAGAGGTTCAAGCAAGTGGTTTTGAAGGACCTATACCTGAAAATGTTTCCCTACTGACAAGCTTGACAGAACTGTGAGTTTAGATTTCCTTTGACGATTTAATTAATAATCACGTTTTGATTATAGCAGAGTTTTGTATGGTTAAGATCAACAAACTAAAATGTAATTGTGAACAACATAATTCTGCAGTAGAATCAGTGACCTTAATGGAGGTGTTTCCCGTTTTCCTACATTAAACGGCATGCCAAACCTGAAAAATTTGTGAGTAATGCATTTTCTTCCCAAAAGTATGATCTTAATTAAAGTTTGATATATAAATCCTCTATGAAGTGAAGTTATTTATGCAAAAAATCATTTTGGTTGCAGGATGTTGAGGAGGTGTAATATTAATGGGAAGATACCTAACATAGGTTATATGGCAAGATTGAAATATCTGTAATTTCTGAAACTTATATGACAAGCTTGCAAGTTACTCTTAAGTTGATATATATACACTTCTCTGCTTGACTATTTTAATTTGTTGTCATATTGAGTTGGCAGAGAGTTGAGTTTCAATAATCTAGAAGGAGAGATTGATGGTCTTCAAGGTCTTGATCATGTGAAATTCATGTGAGTAACAAATTAATTTTGATGTTAACAATTATGTATAATTAAGTCTTATACTCGCATGTGGTTGTCGTTCTAGGTATCTCACGAATAACTCACTTAGAGGACCGATTCCTCGGTGGATTCTAAGTCAAGATTCCGATCAGTAAGTTCAGTCTTATACATTAGATTATTTATTTATATGAGTTTTCAACTATTCTTTGTCATAAAAAGCACTAACAGATTCTAAAAGTTGATTTACAGTATCAAAGATCTTTCCTACAATAATTTTGATGAGACCTCAGTGCCAAAAGATTGTCGGGAAACCCTGTAAGATTCTGTCCCTTTTATACCTCTACTCTTTCAAGTGTTGCTTCAATTCATACATGGATCGTTTCAGCTGACTTTCTCATTGTTCTATCAGAAATTTGTTCAAAAGCTATAAGAGAGGAGAAAACAATTCGTGAGTTTTAACATCTTTTGACAAAGCATATAGTCTATTGTCTGACATTTTTACTTGATGAGCTCCCTTTTTGGCTTTGTATAGATATGCTGCAAAGTGTTTACAACAATGTACAAAGGGTAAGCACTGCACATCATATCATAATATTGTTGATAAGCAATCAGAATCATTAATGCAATTGACAAGCGATAGTTAATTTTATTTTTCCATTTTTCTGCAGATTGGTATTCATTTCACATCAATTGTGGTGGAGGCAATGTTTTGATTGGTGACACTATATATGATGCAGATGAAGACTCTACAGGCTTTGCAAAATTTGTTACCACTAAAGAGAATTGGGTAACCAGTAATACAGGGGTCTTCTGGGGTAGGGGTAAAAATAATACACTAGATGACTACACGGCGACAAGTATATCTAACATTTCTGAAATCTACAACACAGCTCGCTTGTCTCCTTTATCTCTAACTTATTATGGGCGATGCTTAGCAAATGGAAACTATACGGTGAAACTTCATTTTGCTGAGATAGTTATCAGAGATAATAGATCTTTTCAAAGTCTTGGAAGACGCATATTCGATGTTTATATACAGGTTGACTGAAAAATTACCATATAAACTGAGGACTTCACTTGTTAAATGTTGTGCATTTGTTTGACTATAGTGATTTTATTTACTACAGGGTGAAATGATACTAAAGGATTTTGAAATTAAAACTGAAGCACAAGGAGTTGATAAAGCCTTGGTTAAAGAATTTCAAACAATTGTCAGAGATAAAACTCTAGAGGTGCGCTTTGTATATGCTGGAAAAGGAACAACAACAGCCCCAAGTAGCGGAACATATGGACCTTTAATATCTGCCATTTCGGTTGAATTTGGTAAAATTAGTTATGGCTTCCATATTTTTAATTTAATAGCACATAATTATATATTTTGGTTTTTATTAATATTTTTGATTCCTTTTAGCCAATTTTGTAGATTTCAAACCTCCCAAAAAGCGAAAGACTTCAATCATAGTTGGTGCAGTAACTTCTTCTTTGTTTCTTACTTTCACAATTCTCTGTTTTGCTTGGTGGAAGATCCACATTAGAAACAAGACCTCGCCGAGAAAATGTAATATATGCATTTAATTTCAATTACTTTCTAATTTTGTAAAGTATGAGAAAGTTGGATGTTGTGACAATTTGTGCATGCAGTCATATGTGCTACGCAGATTCAATCCCAAAACTCATTCTTTATTGCACTAGAAATTATTCTTAAAGTAATTGTTCTTGTACAGAACTACGAGATCTTGATTTAGGAACAGGTATGTTTACCTTCACACAAATTAAAGCTGCTACAAACAACTTTGATGTTGCAAATAAGATTGGAGAAGGTGGCTTTGGGTCCGTCTACAAGGTATAGAGAAATATGATATTCATAATGTGTCTCTGTTAATTCATGCTTTAACGCTTTTGTTTTTGGACTTATTATAGATATATATGCTTATGTCGATGATCTTGGATTTTAGGGTACATTATTGGATGGTACAGTTATTGCTGTGAAACAACTCTCATCCAAATCAAGTCAAGAAAATCGTGAATTTTTGAATGAAATAGGCCTGATTTCTTGTTTGCAGCACCCTAATCTTGTGAAACTTTATGGGTGTTGTGTTGAAGGAAATCAATTGTTGCTGGTGTACGAGTACTTGGAAAACAATAGCCTTGCTCATGCTATTTTTGGTAAATTTGAAATCATAATTAATTTTCGTTCTAATCATAATAAAAATAAAAATTTTCTATATATATATATATATATATATAGACTTCTGCTCAATTGCGGCTGTGTCTTCCCATGCAGTCAGTGTGGCTGCTTGAAAAAGGCACCAATAGTGTTAACAAAAGGCACCAATACTGTTAGAAAAATGCACAACAATGAAATACACAAATACATCAAAAAACACACAATACATCTAAAAAATGCACATTACTCCCACCCTTAATTGTGCATTTTTGAACATTGTGTAATGTTTTTATGCATACCTAGTACTGTTTTTTTGGTGATGCGTGCCTAATTTGTGCATTTTTGTTGTTGTGCATTTTCTAAAATTGTTGATGCATATTTGTATAACTATTAGTGCGGCTGCACTAACCGCACGTTAAGGGACGACCGCATCTGAACTCTACTCTCTCTCTCTCTCTCTCTCTCTCTCTATATATATATATATATATATATATATGTGTGTGTGTGTGTGTGTGTGTGTGTGTGTGTGTGTGTGTGTGTGTGTGTGTGTGTGTGTGTGTGCAACTAGAATAGAGAGGATTTAGTTTAATTTATTTTTATCCAGATAAATATTAAGTGTTTTGAGTTAACAATTAATTATAGGTTCAGAAGAGTGTCAACCGAAAATAGATTGGCCTTCTAGACAAAGAATCTGTCTTGGTATTGCAAAAGGTTTAGTTTTTCTGCATGAAGAATCAACAATAAAAATTGTTCATAGAGACATAAAAGCCACCAATGTGCTTCTTGACAAAGAACTCGATCCAAAGATTTCTGACTTTGGCCTAGCTAAACTTAACGATGATGGGAATACACATATTAGCACAAGAGTTGCCGGGACAATGTGAGTGTTATCTTTGTATAATTTCTTGTTCATTTTGCATTTCAAAATTCTTCATATAGTTGAAAGTAATTGTAGGCTGCATAAACAACTAAACAACTTTATTTTTTTAAAAATCATTGTTGTTCTGAAACATTGCTAAAGTTTTGAAATTTATTACTTCATTATGACAAATTTTGAATCTTCTGACTTCATTATACACTTCTCTACGTTGAATATAATCTTTCAAGAAAATGAACTATTACTCTTTACTTATTTATAGAGGATACATGGCTCCTGAATATGCAATGTGGGGCTACTTAACATACAAAGTAGATGTCTATAGTTTCGGAATAGTGGCACTAGAAATTGTTGCAGGGAAGAGCAACATGAAGTATCGTCCTGATGAGAACTTTATTTGCATCCTTGATTGGGTGAGATATCAGTACTACAAAACTCAATTCATTGATTGTAGACCTTACAAACTAAGTGGCCTATTCTTATATTCTACTATGTTTTGTTGTATTTATTGCACAATTTCCAGGCACTTGATCTTCAAAAAAAGGGGAACCTAATGGAGCTAATAGATCCAAGGTTGGGTTCGGAATTTAACAAAGAAGAAGCACTCAGAATGATCAAAGTGGCTCTACTTTGTACTAATCCTTCACCAGTCCTAAGGCCATCCATGTCTGCAGTAGTCAGTATGCTTGAAGGCCATGATGATATTCTCGAGTACAAATTCGATCAACATGAATTCAACTTTCAAGCAATGAGAGATCAATATGATGAAATGCTAGTCAATTCAAGCGACTGTCCAAACATCTCAGAGTGCATATATCTAAATGAGGAATTACAGTAGTTCGTGGTGTTAGAAAATATTGATTTTTGGTGTAAGAAAACACAAGGAAAAACAAGATTCAATAATTTTATGTGTATCAAATACACTTTCTACAAGTTTTAAATCACTTTGTATGAGCAATTTGGATCACTGTTAAGCGCGTGAGATACATGAAGTTTATAAATTAATCATGTTGCAACGTTAGCAAGATCGGGGATATTGAAATAGACAAGTACATAATTGTTAATAAGGAAACAAGTTAACAAATAGTGAGATAAATAAAGTAACAAAAAAGGGGAGTGTAGTGTAAGCCAAACTTAAGAGAGATGCATTAGAGAACATGCAAATCCTAGCAAGCGTTAAGAGAGATGGATCAAAACACCCAAATGCTACTCTCGTAGGCATTTGGTAAGCCAATGGAACCTTAGACTCCATTCTCATGATAACTCAAGTCCATTGGCACAATAAGTACATAGCACAAAAAGCTCCGATCCGTTTGTTCTTCGATTCTCATAGTAAGAAAAAAGCGTGTGTAGTGTAGCAAAAATGTATTTTATTCTCATATCAACAACACAAATTTATAAAATCTAGCATATAATGATGCTTCCTTCAATCATATGCAAGATCAAGCAAAACGATACTTCAAAACCCCCTTTAAGAAATTCAGCCTAAGATGGAATCAAAACACTCGAACCCACAAACTCTTTAGCCACACATATTCATAAAGGAAATCCAAAATCACAAATTAATTAAACACAAGGTAAAGATTAACCCTAAATTATTTTGGAATATGAACAATAAAGAAGGGAGCTATGAGAAATGGCTAAAATGCATATCAAAAAGTGAAAATTTGCTATTTAAACAACACTAGTGCGGTGGTGCTCGCAAAGTATGCCTGGACTCGTGTCCACAATGCATTGTGGACACAAGTCCAAAACGACGTCGTTTTCAGGGAAAACGCGTCATTCCAGTTTTAAAAAAAATTTTAATTTTGTCTCGCCGTTAACGGCGTTATTCATTTATGGAATTATGAATGTACAGTTATGACGTTATGAATTTACAATTATGTAATTATGAATGTACAGTTATGGAATTATGGAATTACAATTATGAACATACAGTGATAAATTATGAACATAGAGCTCTAAAATTGTGAACATAGTGCTTCGAAAATTATGAATGTACAGTTATAGAGTTATGAATGTACAGTTATGGGATTATGAATGTACAGTTATGGAATTATGAATGTACAGTTATTGAATTATGAACACAGAGCTCTGACATTATGAACATATAGTGATAAAATTATGAACATAGAGCTCTAAAATTGTGAACATAGAGTTTCGAAAATTATGAATTTACAGTTATTGAATTATGAATGTACAATTATGGAATTATGAATGTACAGTTATGAAATTATGAACACAGAACTTTGACATTATGAACTTACAATTATGAACATATAGTGATAAAATTATGAACATATGCTCCTATAACGAAGCGGTCTGAAATTAAAAACAAAAAAACAAAAAAAAAAAAGTAGAAGATAATGGTAGATAACGGTGCCACTAACGGCACCGTTACCATGTCCACACTGTAGGCTGGACACGGATCCATAGCATAATGATTGGGTGGTGCTCTGTCCGGCCTTAACTAGACAACCACTGTCGCGGTGGGCCCGTGGCCAATTGGAACAGATTCAGCCTAAGGGGATGTTTGGTTCATGGAAAATGTTTTGAAAGGAAAATATTTTTTTTTTTTAAGTGGAGGAAAATGTTGTTTCTGGTGTTTGGTTCATGGAATTCATTTTCCATTGGAAAATGAATTCCTCAAATTTGAGGAAAACAAAATTCTTGGTTGGACCAAGGATTTTGTTTTCCATGGAAGATGAGGAGAAAAAGTGATATGGATTGCTTATTTTACCCTTGTTTTCTGTTTTAATTATATTACTCTGATTAATTTGTAGGGGCATATAGGTCTTTATACTCGTTATTCCTTACAATTTCAAATCTAACCAAACAATAGAATTAGTATTTTTAGTAATTCTTTTTCCACCAACCAAACAATGAAATTCATCTTCATAGTAATTGTTTTTCCATTGAATTTCAATTCCACTTTCCTTAAAATATTTTCCACGAACCAAACGAGACCTAAGTGAAAATCAAGTCGGTAATCAAAGTTCAAAGCACGACCTAGGTAACATAAGAGTAGAAAATGGTGGTGTTAGTCTTGATGAATGTGAATCCAAAGTCTCCTTAAATACCATCACTTGAGGATGCACTTGGAAGAGAATGAGGATGGGAGCATATTCTTTGGAAGGGATCTATGTCAAATCTTTGAAGAGAGTATGTTACTATTGAGCTTAAGAGAGTTTCTCAATGCCCGACATTTGAGAACATACCTTGAGAAGAAAATATTGCAAAGAGAAGGGAGTCTTCTCCTTCCCATCTTGGCTAGCTTGATTGTTCTTTATTATTTGTGATTCTTTGCAATTTTTTTTTTATCTTTCACATTTATGTTTCTTTCCTTACTTGGCATTTGTTATTTTCTTCATAGGAATTTTTGGAGAGAGTGAGTTAGCACAAGCTTGAATGCTCAAAACTGCCCTGTGCACACAATTTTGAGGGAGTATTTCTATTCTTTATTTTTATGCTTTCAATTTTTGTATTATTGCGTTTAGGAAGGATATCTTTAATGTGCTTATGTGAAGCTCTTGCCAAATTAAAGCTATGTTTCTTACCCTTTCCCTTATGTGCTTTGATTTCAATTTCCCCTCCATTGTGCGTTAAATTGTTTTATTAAATCGAGGACGATGTAAACTTTAAGTGTGGGAAGATTTGTGGGTGCACCTTGGGCTTTTCTTGGTATTCAGACTGACGGTAATAATGTTACCGGAAATATAATATTAGAATGACATTACGTGAAAGAGAGAGTAACAATAGTTGTATTGCCTTTGTCTCAGTATAGAAAGTACAGTGTGTCCTCTCCCTTTGCTAGCTGAGGGGAGTTCTATTTATGCTAAGTCCTAATGGTAACAACATGAAGAGTCATAATTAGGGAGCTGAGGCTAACGGCAATAGCATGAAGAATCATGAATGAGGCGCTCAGCTTTAATTCTCTCCCTTCAATGCAATGAATGGCCATAACGTTTCCACCTGTTGGTGTTCTGCCCGTTGGAGTTCTGCCTGTTGGAATTCCACACGATGTCGGGTTAATAATGGTGTCGGGTCAGGTGCTGCTTATGATCTGGGTCGGGTGCCAGCACCATTATCCTGTCACCAGCCCCCCCTACTCCTGAGTCTACGGATGTGTTTGAGTTGACTTGGGAGTAAGGCTGAATTTGCTTGATATCGTGCCCGGTTGATCCCGAGTATGTGATTTTATTTTACAAATCACACATGAATTTTTTATTTATTTATTTATTTATTTTTATGCTGGCCGAGACGGGCTGAGGCTTAGGCTGGCCGAGGTGCGTGCCTCCGGCCGATCACGACCGAGGCGTAGCCTCGACCGATCATGGCCGAGGCGTGCACCCCGGCCGATCGTTCGTGGTCGAGGCGTCGCCTCGACCGTTCGTGGCCAAGGCATGCGCCTCGGTCGACCGTGGCCGAGGCGTCGCCTTGGCCGATCGCGGTTGAGGCGTCGCCTCGACCGACTGTGGCCGAGGCGTGCGCCTCGGCCGATCGTGGTCGAGGCGTGCGCCTTGGCCAATCGTGGTTGAAGCGTCGCCTCGACAGGCTGAGGCGCCGCTCCGGCCAGTGGCCGAGACGCGGGTGCTGCCTCAGTCGGTGACCGAGGCGTGCGCCTCAGGCCCTAGGCCGAGGGTGCTGCGCCTCTGCCAATGGGGTTCCTCGGCCTGGCCGAGTCGTGCGCCTGGCGGTTTTTTTTTTTTTTTTTTTTTTTTTTTTGGATCGAGGCGCCGCGCCTCGGCTTGTGGCCGAGGCGTCGCCTCAGCCACTTGGCCAAGGCGCGGCCTCGGTCATCTGGCCGAGGCGTCGCCCCTACCAGAAGGCCGAGACGTGCGCCTCGGCCTATGGCGCTGCCCGGCCCCTTTTTTTTTTTTTTTTGGATCGAGGCGCCGCGCCTCGGCTTGTGGCCGAGGTGTCGCCTCAGCCACTTGGCCAAGGCGCGGCCTCGGCCATCTGGCCGAGGCGTCGCCTCGACCAGAAGGCCGAGACGTGCGCCTCGGCCTGTGGCTGAGGCGCGACCTCAGCTATCTGGCCGAGGCGTCGCCTCGACCAGAAGGCCGAGACGTGCGCCTCGGCCTGTGGCTGAGGCGCTGCCCGGCCCTTTTTTTTTTTTTTTTTACAATGCGGCGTCGGCCGGCTTTTGGTTGATCGAAGGTGGTGTTGAGAACCTTTTATTTGAGCAAAGTAACCTGGGCAGACCATGATTACAAAATATTGTTTACAGGTCTGGGCGGAAGTATTACTAATAATATCTAACTAAATGTTCTGAGCTCCATACCCGATCGATCATCCTTGCAGATGGTGTGGACTTGCAGATCCTTTCTGCCAATCTTTTTGCATGCTTTTACGTAACAACTGCTGGCTGCTCGCTGGTCTCCTTTGACGACTCCTACCCCATTCGGAGTATGGAACTTCATACATAAGTGTTCCACCGACACTATGGCCTTGAGGTCCTCCAGTGCCGGTCTCCCCAATATGATGTTGTGCGCACAAGCGAGTCTTACCACGATGAATTCTACGTTAAGTTTGCGAATGTTAGGGCTCGTGCCTATCTCCACTGGTAAGACCACTGACCCCTCTGTCTCCACTGAATCACCCGTAAATCCAGAGAGTGGGGTACGTACTTCTTTGAGCTGGTTCCTAGGTATCCCTAACTTGGTGAAGGCATCGTAATACATCACGTTGACTGAGCTTCCTGTGTCGATTAAGATGCGGTGGACCATGACATCGTTGACGTCCATCTTAATCACCAGGGCCTCACGATGGGGTAACGGGCCCTCTGGGAGGTCATCATCAGAGAAGGTGATGGCCTCCTGTCTCTGTTTCTTTTCTCTAGGAAGACTCACCACTTCTCCCACGTATAGCTGTTGGCTCCACTTCTTTCTTTCCGCGGGCGTGTCGCCCCCTGCGGGTCCACCATAGATGAAGTATATGGTGT